TGATTAATCTGTAATATTTCCCTTCCAGAGAGCATATTAAAATTTTACTTATTTATAATCTTATTAACTTAAACTGTATTTTATAAACAATGCACTATTTGCTTAATTCTAACAAAAGGCTTCAATTACTACTCCATTCATCCATTGATCTTCATTCTGATCAAAAACCACATATTTAGTATGTACTCTATAATTGTCCACAAGTTTATTCCTTTATGAACTTTATTTTCTCCACCATATTTAAAACTCTTTAATGGCATGAACCTTTTATAGAGCTTACTTATGATAGTATTACAAAACAACATCAATCTCTAACTACTATATATTTAGGACATCTTTACAATGGAGGATTTTAATGTGATAATAGCCATAACTACTGTCTCTTAAAATAACAACTGCCTACAGTTATTTCTTCTTAAATACATGATGCACATTGATAATAAATTCATTAAAAATATAACATTAATTGATAAAAGCTGAAAAGTCTTATTTTTAAACTTGTTTGATAATTCTACTCTTAAGCTGAATACCAAAAAAAAGGACAAATATATAGACCTGCAAACATGTTAATAAAATAAACAAATATTTAACCTAATTTATATCTCTGAAAGAAAAATTTATTTTAAATGCAAGACCTAAGTATTAGTAGTTCCATGTTGAATATAACTGCTGTAAATATACCCCAACTATTTAGACAATTTCAAAGCATGTTTGTATTATTCTTATCTAACCAACTTACACTATGAAATATTATAGAGTTACTGCTAATTATTTTTCAGCATTTTCAGTTAAAATAACAGATTTTTTCTTTATTCCTTATACAGAAATAGTGTAGCATAGTTAGAATCAGTAACATACAAATAGGTCCACACATATATTGAATACTTGGGCACCCTTTCCTTTTTACACTTCTTGAAGTCATTGAAATAAACAATATTTAGTCCACTTCATAAATACTAGCTTCAGCAAGCCTGATTACCACTTCCGCTGCTGCAGCTAAGTCGCTTCAGTCAAGTTCAACTCTTTGCAACCTCATGGACTGTAGCCCGCCAGGCTCCTCTGCCCATGCGATTTCCCAGCAAGAATACTGGAATAGGTTGCCATTTCCTTCTCCAGATTGCCACCTCAGTTTGGTATATTTATTTGTTCAGTGAGCAAGAATTTAAGTTTCTTTACATCAAATAAGATAGCATATAATACAACCTTCTTAAGTGTGCACATTTCTAATAATAGGACTAATTATATAATTACAAGCATTGATTTTATATCTATAAATAGGTATATTCAATTTTAATATCTATTATATGCAAGACATGTAGGAGATGCAGGTTCGATCCCTGGGTTGGGAAGATCCTCTGGAGTAGGAAATGGCAACCCACTCCAGGATTGTTGCCTGGAAAATCCCATGGACAGAGGAACCTAGCGGGTTACAGTCCACAGGGTCACAAAGAGTCGAACACGACTCAGTACTCATGCACGCACACACAATTTGAATTGTGCGTACTCTTTCTCTGGTATACAAAAGGCGCAAATATTTAATTTCATGCAATCATATTCTTTTAGCCTCTACTAAATGACTTTTTAACCAGTATTTCCAATAACAGTTATTTACTGACCTCAAGCAGTAAAATCTACAAACAGAAAGCTGAGACTCTAGTCATTAATTTATCCCTGCAAATCATAAACACTGAGTGGGAATTTAACATGAAGCTCTTTAATACTATAAGACCACTTAAGTATATGAGCAATTTTAAACATACAAAGCTATATACACAAAAAATACCACAAAGATGGCCAGTTAAGGAGAAAGAAAGAGCTCATTTTTTTCCATATCAATTTTGAGAGAAACGTGTAATTAAGTAAGTCAAAGGTATGAATTTCTGAGATTCAAGATTACTTTTCGTTATTTAAAATCACACCCCCTAGCGTATCCCATCAAACCTTTGCTGACTTCTTTCCAAATTAAAATATAATTTTTTTCTCTTCTTTGATCTAAAAGGTGTTAAACTTCTTATAAAAAGAGTACTTTTGGCAAAGTTACAGGTAAAAGAATTTAATGTTGCTTATATCAGAAGTCTGTTTGTATACTTGGAATGAGAAATCCATAAATGCCTTGGCAGTTCCTCTAGAAGCAGAAGAAAAAGACTAAGCATTTTAAATGAAAAATGTTCCCACTCAGTGACTCTTTCATCTCTACATCCAAGAGAGACTGGAATGCAAAAAGTTCATCAGCAACAAAGCCTAAACTCCATCCCATTTAGCAGTTATATCAGTCTATTACCTGATGTTAGGATTATATAAGACAGTTTCCTTCCATTAGGAAGAGCTCCTAAAATGGGCACTGTCAAAACTGGTAAAACTGAAATCTGACCTACTTTTTTCAAAAGATGGCCATGAATTTTGTGGTAAGTGTAATTCTTTTTACAGTGAGAGCTGTTCTTTAAAAAAGAGAAAACTTTTAACTGAAATATGCTAGAAAATGCCTTATGTTTTAACTATCAAATAAAAATCTATAAAATATGCACACATTGCTTAAGCTTTTATCTCTAATACTGAATTCTCTATGTTACTTTATCCATACATTGACTTTACTATGTATTGTAGGCCCAATAAAATTCTAAATAAACCCACATTAAAAGGTTATTCATTTGGAATACATTTGTAAAACAAGAATAAACTGACCAGTCCTGTGGGTAAGTCTGATAAAACATACATGTAAATTTTAATTTTAAATCACATGTTATTTGTAAGAAGAAGATTCCTTTTATTTACATGGCTGTCATTTATAGTTGTCTATTCTCCTTTTAGGAATGAAGTATTACATTATTAAGAGGGAAGAAGGTTAATTCATTCATTAAAATAGAAATTATTCAATACTTTTTAAAAAGATAAATGTAATTTCTTAGTTCTTTCAAACTCCCAATTGTCATAAAATGTCATTGGATTTTAATTAAATTAAAAAGTCAACCACATAGCATCACACTTCTAGACTTTGTTATCATTCTTATAATTAAAGGGGCCTACTCTTCCTACAACTATTCTGTAGGAATCACTGATAAGTTCACAGAGATTTAATTTCAAATAAAAGGATAAGAAAGCATATAGTAGTATGGAAGTTATACGCTTATGATAGCATGGTACAGTGAACACATTTTACCACATGATTTACAGTAATAAACTGTAAAGAAATAAATTTTTGTATTTATTCATTTTAAAACTACTAAATTCATTTTCCATAAAGAAGATCTATAAAAATTAGTCTGTATTTACTATGCTTAAATTTCTATTCAGCTGTAATTTTCATTGAATTAAATGAAAATAAAGTGGTTATATTCACAAATAAATGAAACAAAAAAATTAACTTCATAGCCTAAAGCATAGCCACAGACTTTATAGACAGTATACCTCATAAGAACAGAGTAAACGGATATGACAAACAGTATTATATTGGACTTCAGTTTCATCAAAAATGACAATCTTATTAACTAGACATTTATTATCCTAACTTCAAGGTTCTTTAGAGTACAGAGGAAGTAAAATTACCGTGCCCATAAAAATCATAGCAAGATGACACAATAGATCACTATGGGTATTTCTTTCATTGTGCCAATGTTAAGTGAAACTCTAGAGCAAGAGTACTCAAAAGAGATGATGTTCCTATGATGTTCAAGCAATGCATAATTCAAGACTATCTAAACTGAACAAACATTAAAGAATACTTGATAGCCTTAAATTCTAGTAACAAACACAGAAGAATAAAAAGAGTAATGATTGTGCTCCAAATAGCTGCAATCAATCTTTACCGATTATTCTGCAGTGGTCTATTAAATGCATATTATTAAAATTAATCATATAAAATACACATTCATTCTTGAAAGGTAATACTATAAACTATGGTGTTTAATAAAAACTCTAAATGTGAAAGCATAAAGTTATAAACATAAGCACTGAGATTCTGTAAAAAAAGATAATACCCTAAGATAAGTAAGAACTGGAAAGAAGGCAAAGTAAGGTCAATTTATAAACAATACTGGAGACTCAGATTCTCCAATTAAAATTCATAATAAAAGATATCTGTGTCCTCAGCTAAAACATGATATTTCAGAAAAAGTAAGGAAAGAATAAATGAGGCTAGCCTTATCACTACTGCTACAGAGAAGTTACAACTGAAAACTATGGTTTCTATCTTTTTTTATATCTTTCTTTTATCATAATTGAATATGTTTGTGACTTTATTGAATTAAATAAATTCTTAGGAGATGCTAAAAGTGAGTGTTTAAAAATGTGTTTTTGTTTCAGAAAATAGAAATCAAAGGAAAAATCAGGATAAGTCTAATTAAACTGACTATACTCAAGATTTTTTTTCTGTATTTCATTTGCACATATATGGGAAGAAAAGGTAGAAAATGTAAAAATTTTGCAATATCTATACTCATACCCAAGTTCTTGCTTTCTCTTTGCCTAGTAGGAACACTAATATTGTATAAAGTGTTGAGGATGACAATGACATTATGACAAATAGGAATGGAGTCAATGCAAGATGCAATAAACCAATCTAGCTCTTGAGAAGATAATGGTTTTTATGAATGGCTTTACTGAATTGCAAGGAATTAAAATGTATTTGGATAGACTTAGAAACTAAAAAATGTGTTCAGAAGCATTATCATCCATAGATGGTAGTTCAATAAAGCCTAACTGAAAAGATATTTTTTCCCTAAAATTAAAAGCTCCAAAACTTAGAAATTTACTTACTTTCTTCTGAAAATATCATTTGTGAAATCACACACAAAAAAAAGAATTCATGTCAGATAAGTCTTAGTTTAGAATACTATGGCCCAAATTTCCATCAATTCAGTTTCATAAGCAGAACTAAGTCATACTGCCCCCACGTTAACGTCTTAGGCTAGAAGAGATAGTGCTAACACTCAAAACAGAATTATCACAAAAATCATGACTCAAACAAAAGTTTGTAAGTGTACCACTGATATGTCAACACTTACGGCTATCATAACATATGTTTCCTAGAGCCCTGCCCGTTTGAAGCAGCACTTCCTGGTCTTTGCTATTTAGCAGCTGCACCAGTGGTGAAATCAATCCAGCATCCACACATGGAATTCGCATAAATTCTGAAAATAAGAGATAGGGTTAATTAAAAATATAAACATTCACAATTACATAAATACCTTTCCTTAAATTTTACTTATTTTAATACTTGTTAAAATGTTTAAGATGGCTTGCTATTTGAAGAGTACACCGCTGTCCAAAAATACTATTACAACCCTACTAAATATTTCATGAAATAAGTATACAAAAATGAATGGGATCATGTTTGTTTTGCTGATAGCCTCTACCATAAACCAAAACAATTTTTCATTAACTTTCATTATCCTAATTTATCACTATTTTCTTAGCTGCATGTTTTAAGAGGAGAAAGAGGAGGAGGAGAATAAGATCTAAAGTCTTTACTTGCTTTTACTTCACTTATTAGCACTGTAGGCACGAAATAGCACCAGTTTCAGAAATGTATTGTTATTATTATTAAAGATACTTTAAGAGTACAATTCTAAAAAGGAAGAAATATTCATGGACACTTTCTCTTCTGCTTATTTTTTCTTTGCCCCAAATTCATCTTAAATCTGTTATCTAGAGGAATACTTTACTTTAAAAAGCATCAAATCTCTTACTGTAACTTATGGTCATAGCTATGCTCCCACATTAAACTTGTACCTGGAACTTCTTACTAAGCCTCTGGTTTTTGAACATCAGCACATAGTCAGTTATGTCAATTTTTAGAGGATATTTTTGGAAATAAACATTTAAACAAAATTATATTTTATAATTAATCAAAATCTAACAAGTATATGCTAATATTTCTCTTCTGTTGTTATGTAACATGCATAGCAGAGTAATGATGAACCTATCAACTTCTAATTTCTTTTTTTCTCTAGTTCACACAATTTTCTTTCATTGTCAAGTTTCTAAAAGAAGAAATATAAGCCCAGTTAATATCTCTGTTGGGTCATGTTGCATTTCTGAAGATATTTATTTTAAAAGGAAGACTCTAATCTACTTTCTCAGCCAGTCACTTCTACAACAACAACAACAATGTGGTGGTTAAGCAATAAACAACCATTTAAATTGGGTCCCATTTATTGTAACCAGCAGGGATTAGTGACAGGCCCTTAACAAGCCTCTAATTAAAAGTATAAATGCTACTAATTATGTCTTTAAAACAGAGCTGTCATCTACTAAAATGTTATTAGAAGCAAGCTCTAGCAGCAGTTATCGTGAAACTGTGACAAAGTATTATGAGGACTGATATTACTCAGTGAGCTCATATAGGAATGGCAATCCATTTCAAAATTAGCTATTCAAAATTTCTGAATCTATGTTATGTGTGTGTGCTCATTCCTAAGGAAAAGAGCTTAAAGATAAAAACTGATTTCTGGAAATTATACTGTGTTTCTAATGAAGTTAAATATAAACTACTTGATACAAAAATCAAGCTACCTTGCACCTAAGAAGAATTTAGATAGTGGATGGTCTAGGTTAACAATGTCTGGAGGGGTTTCATTCTCAAACCAGATCTGCCTCAAGAGTTCTTTGCTGTCCCAAGGTAATCCCTATCTATTCAGAGCAGTTCAAATCTGCTTGAAGTACACTAAATAATCCTAGACCCACTAGGAATCTCTCAACATTTATGACCAGCTCAAATCCAAGGCAGAGCATAGTGATTATAACCATAATAGCTTAGATGTACATGCAAACAACAGATGATCAGTTTTCATTAACAACCAAAAACATGATTTACCAACATAGAACCTCACTGAAATTTAAAATATATTTGGAGCACCTCTGAACAAATGAAACCTGCAAACAAACATGGACAGACATGAGAGCTCAACCACAAAGAAGGCTGAGGGTTGAAGTTTTGATGCTTTCAAACTGTGGTGCTGGAGAAGACTCTTCAGAGTCCCTCGGACAGTAAGGAGAACAAACCAGTCAATATTCTAAAGGAAATCAGTCCTGAATATTCACTGGAAGGATTGATGCTAAAGCTGAAGTTCTAATACTCTGGCCACCTGACGTGAAGAGCTGAATCACTGGAAAAGACCCTGATGCTGGGGAAGATTGAGGGCAGGAGGAGAAGGGGGCGACAGAGGATGAGATGGTTGGATGGCATCACTGACTCAATGGACATGAGTTTGAGCAAGCTCTGGGAGTTGGTGAAGGACAGGGAAGCCCAGCATGCTGAAGTCCATGGGGTCGCAAAGAGTATGACACAGTGACTAAACAACAACGAAACAAACTTAAAATTTTCATGGCAATTCTTTTTGGTAACACACATGAACAAGCTGTTTTAATGGGCCAAAAACAACATATACTGGTACTTCACAACACCACCTGCATAGTGATTACACAATGTATAAAACTGTGTAAAACTGAGACCAGAATTTTAAAGTTTCTTTTTTTTAAAGTATAATATATGCAACTTACTAAAATAAGAAGACTAAAAATAATATCAAACTTTGAGAAATAGAGGCATACTAATGCTATTGCATTTAGCATGGCCTTCCCTTATGCTTAAAAACTGCTTTAAGAAGTCAGTGCTTCTAACAATGAAAAATCAGAAAGAAAAGTTAAGAAAATAATCCTTTTCACCACTGCAACAAAAAGAATAAGATACCTAGGGAAAAACCTACCCAGTGACAAAAGACCTGTATGCAGAAAACTGTACAACACTGATGAAAGAAATCAAATATGACACAAACAGATGGAAAAATATACCATGTTTTTGGAAGAATCAATATTATGAGAATGAGGACACAACCCAAAGGAATCTACAGATTCAATGCAATCCCTATCAAACTACCAATGGTATTTTTCACAGAACTAGAACAAAATATTTCACAATTTGCATGGAAACACAAAAGACCCTGAATAGCCAGAGCAGTCTTGAGAAAGAAAAATGGAACTGGAGGAATCCACTTTCCTGACTTCAGACTATACTGCAAAGCTACAGTCATTAAGACGGAATACTAGTGGCACAAAAACAGCAATAAAGACCAGTGGAACAAGACAGAAAGCCCAGAGATAAACCCATACACATATGGGTACCCTATTTTTGACAAAGGAGGCAAGAATATACAATAGAGAAAAGACAACCTCTTCAACAAGGGGTGCTGGGAAAACTGGACAGCTACCTGTAAAAGAATGAAACTAGAACACTTTATAACACCATACACAAAAATAAACTCAAAATGGATTAAAGGTTTAAATTTAAGGCCAGAAACTATAAAGCTCTTAGAGGAAAACATAAGCAATATACTCTTTGACATACCATCACAGCAAATCCTCTTCGATTCACTTCATAGAGTAATGGAAAGTTTAAAAAAAATTTTTTAAGTCAGTGTTTTTCTTAAATTGACTGAACTAAAATCATATACGAATATTTCTGCTACAAAATATTGCTGAAATATCTTCCAAAGAATCCCCTCTCCCTTGGATACAAACCATGTATAACGGGATGACTATTATATAATCCATGCTTTGAGGTTATTTCTCCAGAGTATATTTACATGGAAACTTAAGAAATAAATGATTCTCATGAAGGGGAACTCAGAAAACACAGTATGTATTCTGACTGCACTACTGCAGTCAGCTGCCATGTCAGTAGGTTTGTCAGTAGGTCAGACAAACATATTTTCTGGATAGAACAGAAAACAATGTATACACTGAAAAAGGTAAGGTCTCCTGTGACAATGAAGATGAATGACTCGGTGACAATCTGAGAATCCTATAGCCAAGTATAAGAACACAGAAACAGCAGGGATGAGCAGCGCTATTCTTTCACTCTACTCTGACAGAACGGAAGAGCAAACGGGCAATGTATGAACAGAAGGACTACAGTCATTTTAAACAATCACATGAGAAAAAGCTAATGGAAAGAAAAACAAAGAGAATTTTTTAAAAAAGGTCTAATCTGCAAAATGGAAACATAAATTAATAAAACATACTGACAGGTAGGGTGTAAAACTGAAGATGTTCCCAGCAGAAAAGCTCTTGAGGAAAACCTCACCATTTTTGGCTATTTCTGCTATGATGTTAGCTACTTTGGCTGTGCAGGAGGACTGTGGAATCAACAGACTTGCAAACACTTGAAGTATTCCACTTCCTTGGATTTTTTCACTTGTTTCCATATCTGAAAGAGATACATACAAAGAGCTTCAGTGAACATCTTCAACACTAACACTGACAATTACATCTACAGTAAATTCTTTAAGAATTGTCACCATCTATAGCAGAAATTATTTATTTATATTAAAATGTATTTATATAAAATTATCTTCAGGTCCACAAGCCACTTTTATCATGGGTTTTTCCCTATGCGAAACACTTTTTAATACAATCTCTTGTAAACCTACAGTCAGATTACAAAGGAATCCTTTCTGAATATACTATTTGCATACCACACTTACTTTTCAATGTTATTTCCAATCCTGTCTATTCAGAATAGGAATGCTTTATTTTCTACTTCCCTTCTGAGTTTCCTAATAGTGTATTGTTATATACATATAAATTCTATGACTTCCAATAATGCTACAGCAATTAAAAGTGGCAATTACATGTGCAAAAAACTCACCACATATCATTTTACATGGAGTGACAGAAGAGACTATTCAGTTCCATATGATTACTGTGTTTCTCACAGAACTTATTCAAAACACCACTAACGAAAAACGGAAGCAGTTTAGGCAGGAATAAGGCCATGGTATTCAGAATTCTGGGCTTCCCTGGTGGCTCGGCTGGTAAAGAATCCACCTGCAATGTGGGAGCTGGGTTCAATCCCTGGGTTGGGAAGATCCCCTGGAGAAGGGAAGACTACCCACTCCAGTATTCCGGCCTGGAGAATTCCATGGACTATATTCAGTCCGTGGGGTTGCAAATAGTTGGACACGACTGAACAACTTTCACTTTCATTCAGAATTCTATATGGTTATATAGAAATTCAAGAGGTCCACTTCTTTTCTTTGTTTTCCATCTTTGTGAAACTGCAAATGAAGAGCCTTTGCATGAAGCCAAGCCACTTCATGTAAAAAAGTTTGACCCATTAAAAAACAGTAACTGGGATGATGTACACCTGGAATGATGATGGCAATAAAAGCTCAAGGAAACAAAATCTAAAATTACTATTTGACTCTGAACAGTGAAGAGGAATGCCATGTGTTTAAAAACAGAACATTATAAGGCTCATTAAAACATTCTATTTAGGGGTCAATCCCAAGATGATGGAAGAACAGGACAGGGAAACCACTTTCTCCCCCCAAAATACATCAAAAGATCACCTGCATGTGGAGCAACTTTCACAAAACAACTTCTCAATGCTGGCAGAGGACCAGAAAGGCAAACCAATCTCTTAAAAATGAAGGATCTGATGACTGGCTTGATTGTTCTCTTCCCTTTGGACTCTTCATTTTCTCCCTCTGGTCACCTCTATTTCCCTCCTCTCTTCTTTATATAACTGTGAATCTCTTTGGGTGTTCCTGGCTCCGGAAAGTCATTTCACCATTAACCTAGGGGTTCTGCCTTCTGTGCCGTATGAAGGGAAAACTCTTGATGTTACCGTAAGAGGGGGACCAAAACCGAGGCAGGAGGCTCAACTCCAGAACTCTGGACCACCACAGGACTCCTGACATTGGGAACATTAACAGACGGAAGCCCACCCAAAAGCCTCCCATACCTGCCCTGAGACCAAGCTCCACCCAAGAGCCAGCAAACCCCCATGCAAGACACCCCACGCCAGGCTTCCAGCAAAACAGGAACACTACTCTGAACATTAAAAGACAGGGCGTCCAAAGCTGTATCAAACTCACAGACACCCCAAAACATTCTATCTGAATGTTGTTTCTATGTATAGCTCCTCAATATCTTTTATAGCCTTTGAATACACATATAAATAAAAGAACTCTAAAGATTTCTTGTTAAGTAAATGACAGCGGCTGTGATTAATAAAGAGTAGGAAATCATTTTTAATAATTTGAGAAAGTCTAAAAAATAATTATTTCTTTATAGTAAGTGCTGATTGTTCAGCTCAGTGTTTGTCAAACTGTGGGTCCCAATCCATCAAGAACCCTGAAATCAACTTGGTGAACAAGGACCAGCAATTCCTTAAAAAGAGCAATAGAATTAACATCTACAACAAAGGAATAGAAAAAAAAAAATTTTGTTCATGCACAGTAAGATAAAACCCTGAGTGAAATGCATGCACAGGTGACTGTAAGCGCATGCCTACTGACTGCAAAAGGCAGCCCTAATCTTGGGTTCTGGTCCAAAAGCTACACAGCAACGTTCTGCGCAACCCATGACTACCCAGGATTCTAGGCAAGAGAGCTTTAATACTCTTAAAGTCATCAGGAGAAGCTAGAATTAATGGCTAAATCAATAGAAAATTACATGGAAAAACTTGTAAAAATTGAAGACTGTAAAAAATTCCATGGATTTATTATCTTAAAAACATTCCTTTGCAAATACTGTAGTTATGTTTATGTTTATCTATCCAGTACAAAAGATCAAGTAATCAGGACTAGTTAATGTTGAAACTCCATCCATGCATTTCCTTTTCCTACCATAGGCCTAGTACACTTTAAAGTAGCTAATATCATTTTGGTTTCTTACATTTTATGTTCTATAATAAAAAGGATTATTTCGGAGGTACTTTAAAACAACGTTTTTTATTAGGTGAAGAAACAGAGGTCCAGAAAGATGAAGTAAACTTGTCTAAAGTCACCAATCATACTAATCAAAGAGCATAAGGAGCAAATTCAGTCTCAACTACACTAACTATTCAACATGTGTGTCATCTAGCATCCACTGGTGCCATTCTTTACAACAGAAAACGTACTTAAGCATAAATAAATAAAATTTGTCTTTTTGTATGCTGTTATTCACTCATTTCTCACAATTCAGATTACTACAAACGTAGTTTGCATGACAAAATATAAACACAGCAGCTGTCCTTTCTTTCAGCAAGCCCATTTATAAAATACAATGTGCCTTTTCACTTTTGTTTCTGGGATTAAAAAATAAGTTTTTATGGTACCACCTGAAAATCTGACACCAAATTTCCATTAATTAATTTTTTTAAAGCAAGAAGTCAAAAGAAAAACTCAATTTGCCACATTAAAATTCTTCCTTTTCTGACCGCTGCTACCAAAAGATGTACAACCTTAGAACACTGGGTCAGACTGCCCCAGGGGTCATGTCCCACCATCTGCTGGTGTTGGGATGACAGTAAGAATTTGGCATAAGGCATGAATCATGATTAGATGTGAGGCTGAGGCATTTGTGTGTGTGGAGGCGAGGAGTTAACTGCAAATCACCCATGCATGTCTCATTTTAACTATAACTAAAAGAATGGCTTAACATCAGAGCTGAGGTCAGGGGCAAGGGGAATAAAAGAAAACAATACAAAACTCTTGCACTCTGATGAATTTCCATGGATACAATCCAAAGTATTGGAAGGGTAGTTGTAATACAATGAATTAAGATTTGGGAATAGTACCTTTTCCAATACTATTGTCAGAGAAAATATAATCTGGTTTTTCATATAAATCTGATTTACCATTTAGAAAAACTGAAAAGGAGTTCTATTTACTTGCTAGCATGTGGATTTCTATGGAGGTCTAGAATTTAAATGAAACAGCTGGGAATTATCTTTTTTCATCTGGCATGAAAACAGAGTCAAATACAGCTTATTGTTAAAATGTCACTATCAAATAATTAATTACAAAGTTTCAGTCTCATTCCACATATGCTTTCTACACTGGCATTCTACTCCATATTACAGTGTGTATCTGTGAACTAAACATTTTCTCTGATATCTGTGAACACCCCTGAAATGATTTTAAGAGAGTCAGTGAATGTGGTGTATGCAGGTCTAAATGAATAGCTGACTGACTGCTTGCAAAGAAAAAAACAAAACCGTGATCAGGAGTTCTAAAAAAAAAAAAGGCGCACTTTTCATTATCTTTACCCAGACCACTACTGACACTGTAAATGCACTCCTTTTAAATGTTTGCAGGAATTGATCCAACTTTCCCCCTTCACATTTAGGTGCAGCCATAAAAATGTTTGAGTATGTCTACAAATTACAGGCAGCTGGCTGTCCTTGAATTTTGAAGGACCCAGACACGAAGGGCAACTGCTTCTCTAAAACTATATCTATGGGAGCCACAGCCATCATAGCGCCCTTGCAGCTGTGCAGGCTCTCATTCTGGTCTCTGCAGTCGTATGTTCATACTCCACCTGACCTCCTGATGGCAAAAACGCAGCTTCGTTATGAAACTGCCAGAGTCAGAAAGAAAAAGAAAAAAAACAACCAGGCAATAGGGTCAGAGAAGCTTGAAAGAAAAGCAAATCAAGAAGCCGGGCTACAATGCTATAGGGAGAGGAGAAGTTAAAGCACAACTCAGAATTTCTCAAGGCAAATAACTAGCAGAAGGCAGGGAACAGGTGGAATGGGAACGACTCGTAATTGAAGACATGGCTGGAGAAAGGCTAAAGTTCCCAACAAAGCTGTCAAGTAAATACATTAAAATAATTGGCTTTATAATTATATATCAAGAGGGGGTTTTCAGGTATGCTACTATCATAAGCTGAATTTATGATGTTACGTTAGCATCTGCTTTCATGAGGATAAATTAATGGAAAGCATTTGATAAGCAATTTACAGTAAACTCCAAGATAGAAAAGCAAAAATAATGACTGTTATTACTATGACTCTAATAGATTTAAAATGTACTTGGTTTAGATTTACAGTATTGTTTACTTCTAGCTATAAGAACAATAGGAAACAGTCAGTTTCACTTACATGTCCCAGGATTCTTGTGACTGACTGTGAAGAGAGACTCAGATTTGGGATTGACAGCAAGGACCAGGAACATGATTCAAGGGCCATGTGTATCCTTGTCTCTGGGGAACAATTTATTTCTCAAGGGATAGACTTTTAGAATAAGGTATAACAAGAGACCTGGACCTGTGCCTGAGAAATCCGATTCAAATCCAAGGCTTCATTTACTACTACACAGACAAGTCCCAAATCCTCTCTCCCTTCATCCAACTAAAACAAAGCATGTGCACTTGGATATGGAATAAATACCTCAAGTTCAACATTCCTCAAATCAATTCTCCTCTTTCGTTTCC